ACCTTCGAGGCCATTGTGTTGTTGCCGGCTTGGCCACGATGTTGAACCCTCTTAAGCTCTGCTACGCCCGCAAAATAGTGAAACTCTAGACCGCAAGCTCTGGAGACCTTCAGCCAAACCTGGGGAGGGCGAGAGCCCTGCTCAGGTCAGTCTTCAGGGTGTGCTACTGCCCTGATCAGTGTTCACCATCGTCAATATGTTGTTTCCATCTGAAGGATGTACCATAAACGCGCGTAAATGTGCACACTGGTGTATGTCTGTATATATATATATACACTGTAGGTGTATGTGTATCTATATGAAATAGATATGTGCGAATCCCTCTGTCGTTGTAATCACCGGTATGACGGGCTCTTTCAAGTAACCGTTGGAGGGTTGCAGATTATTGCAACCTGCCGCTGTGGCAACAGTATCTGTTCAATTCTCATTGAACTGTTTTTCGGTTGCTTACTGTACGTCTGTGTGCTAACCTGTCCTTGTTATGATGGAGGTAAGAGCAACTGAGCATGGTACAAACGGATGCGTTTGACATGGAAGTAATGCTGGTACTGTAATGTTTCAGCGGGCATCATAGAAATCTCCTAGTTTTAGCGCTTCAAAAGCTTCAAGTACTGGCAACAATCGAAACATGTCGAAATCAGGGCGAAGGCTGCTGCAATATTCATGCTTGCAGCAATCTTGTTTTTCAGCTTGGTGCACTTGGCATTTGCAGAATACAGTGGCCGCAGTACATGAATGCTAGACCATGTGGAGAGGCGGACCCCATCTGGAACCTGAACGAGGGAGAGGTGCGGGCGTCTGACTGCAGCATTGTATATAGAAGGCTGTGGAGTGAGCAGTGGTGTTCCTTAGGGCCCTAGGGTTCCCTATTATACTTCTAGTAGGGTTTCGAGGAGTTCGGGACTCTCCCTCTTTGTGCCTCATCCAGTTCCGTGTTGAGACATTCTAGGCTCAAGATCGAAGTGGTGTTTTCCGTTCAGGGCCCCAATTTGCTGCGTATTTGCTGGTAGTCCAAGGACCCTTGTGAAAGAACATCACGGAGGGTCTGGATGGTTCGGGCTGTTCCTCTTCTGCCCTGCGATGACGAACCGACCCGTTCTAGTGATTCTAGTGTTCCGCGCCGTCAAATCAACAACAGCTGAGAGCTTGACTCGAGCAGTGCGCATCCTTTTTATCGTTTGCTGCGATGCCTGCAGGATTCTGTCGTCCGAGTCTCAGTCAGCAGTCGACCTTGTTAGCCTCTTCAAATTTGGTGTGGGCGCACGACGTTGGAAAGGCAGTTCGGATTTTGGGCTCCCCGCGGACGATTTAAGGATCCGAACATCTTCGGCTTCCCCTTCATCTGGGCCGAGAGCTCAGGGTGCAGTGTCGGCTTGCTTCGAAGTCAGACCTTCATCTGTGCACGGCTCTTCAGGTTCAGCTTGGTCACATCATCCTGGGAGTGACCCTTGTTGCAGCTGCTGCGGTCGGAGGGAACAGCCTGACGCCGAGTTGATCAGTGGTCCCTGCTCTTGCAGCCTAGTCCGGCAAGCCGGCCTGACGAGTCTTTCGTTTCAATGGCCGGTAGCAGTGGAGGTGTGGAACGAGGTCCGGGAAGCACAGCACCATAAGCATGGTCATCGTTATCATGATCCTATACAACTTTTACGGCCATCTGTTGACATGATGATTTTTGCTGTTGTTCTTAACGATATAACGGGTACTACTATTATTGTTTTTTTTCCCGAGGGTTGGCATAATTCTTATCATTGTCATCATTATTAAAACTTGTTCCGTTAATTAGCATCCTGATGAGTGCTGCTATATATCAGTAGCTCCAAAGATGTTCTTGCCAACAGTATATCGTTATTTGTTACGATCGCCTTTCCTGCTGTTGTCGTTAGTAGCAGCAGCGGCAGCAACAGTTGTGCCGGTATCATTGTATCATCTTTAGCATCATCATGGTCATCAGCATCCTCTTCACCATGGTCATCGTCATTACCCTGTCCGTCTTTAGTGCGCCGTCAGGCACTGCAGTGGTCGTACGAGTTTTGGTGCCAGTACCCCACTACTACTGCTCCTAGTACTACAACAACAACTACTACTACTACTACTACTACTGCTACTACTACAGCTGCTGCTGCTGCTGCTACTACTACTACTACTACTACTACTACTGCTACTACGGCTACTACTACTACTNNTGCTGCTGCTGCTGCTGCTGCCGCCTACTCCTACGGAAGTCATAGACGAGTATTGTTCATGATTTTTTAAGGACTACGAACGTCCTTGAGAGGTCCCAAACACCCTGCAGTACAAAAACCCCCGTGCTGAGACGTGGAGTTTGCCCTCTTTGACCTGCCAGCCAGGGCCGCAGAAAGCCACTGAGTTATCTTGTTCATGATGTTTTCGTTGGCTGTCGAGCTGCCCTCCGGAGCCGTGGTTGTCCTCTGCCTCTGCAGCTTAACGCTTATTGCTCTATGATGTTCTTCTGACTGGAATGAAGGAGCATATCAGCTACGTTTTGGAGCATGCGCAACCTAATGTGCTGGCAGGATTGGGCTCTGAACACGCTCCGGACCTCTGCGGCGAACTCAGGGGGAGCCTGCCGCAGGGGTTCTTCAGAGCGTCCCTTCCTGGGTACCCAAACGGTCCGGAATGCTTCTCCCAGTAACCAGAAACATGGCATAAAATTGGGTCGAATGCTGTCCTGCGCAATCTTCTGTCGGGCCTAGTCAGAATCGCGAGGTCCTCAGGTTTCCCATCGCATTTTATGCCGCCAGCTCTTGAGTGAACTTGCACAAGCATGGACAGGAAAGCGGCTTCAACACGAGCTTCGCTGTAGTGATAGAGTAACTGTCTCGGCCCATCAGTGCTCAGCTAGCCCTCGCCAGATCCCCAAACCCTAAACCCAATACCCTAAACCCTAAACCCTAAGCCCCTAAACCCCTAAACCCTAAACCCTAAACCCTAAACCCGACATCCTCGATTTTCCCACAGTTGCTGCCCACTCGGTTTGCCTGGCAGCCTGTGACATGCTTGCCCAGTTGAGCGTGGCAGTCGTCATCAATGTGGTCAACGCAGTGATTACGTATTTCGAGGCAGGCAGAGGACTTTCATGAATATGATTTTTAACATAGACGCATACATCTGTATTTTGGCTAACAGTCTGTCTACATATATATATATACACATACATGCATACACATGCATATACATACACGGATAAACATGCACAAACATATGCATGTAAGTAAGTCAGTCTGCATGTATGTAAGCAAGGCCGCGAGTAAGTATTTGAGTAAGTAAGTAAGTATGTATGTAAGTAGGTAAGTAAGTAAGTAAGTAAGTATGTATGTATGTATGTACGTATGTATGTATGTATGTATGTATGTATGTATGTGTGTATGTATGTATGATGTGTGTACGTATATATGTATGCAGGCTACATTGGTGCACGGTTATTTGTTGTTTCAGAATTCAAACGCAGCCTGATCTCGTGCTTTGTCTAAGTTGGTCTTTGCCGTCTTGCATGTTATTACAGCTATCTTGTACTGCAGTCTGTCATAAGGTTTCTTTGCTAGTCGCTACAATTTTACATGTTGTTTTTCCGTTCATACAGCTGCATGTCTCTTCTGCCATGTTGATTATGTTGTGTATGTTTCCTGCTATGGTTGCTGTTGTCGTCGTAGTGTTCGCGGTTGTCACATTTTTAACGCATGTGCTTTTGTGGTTACAAGTAGTACATCATTCAGGCTCTCAGTGTGCATTATCGTTCTTGTGCAAAAGAGCTGTCTAGCGTCGTTGCTCATGTCAGTTCCCTTTTTCACGTTTGTGAGTTCTGATGCAGCACTGATGCGGGTTATGACATCTGCTGCTTATCGTGCGACAGAGACAACTAACTCATCAATCCAATACCCGAACCCCCCCCAACCTCTCAAAGGGCGACCGCTTGAAGAGTTGAAGGCCCTTCCTTTCTGGGTCAACTCACGCTTGAAGCACTTCAAAACCTAAGATGAGGAGAAGAGCATCCCCGACCACAAGAACTTCGATGCCTCCGGCTGGTTCTTGAAGGCATGATCGCGTTTCCAGTCCTTATTTGGGCTCGGGTCTTGGTTGACTGAGAACAGGTGTAGGCTCGTGGCTAGAATGGGCGACCTGTGGGTCTGAGGTAAGAGCCATCGGAGCGAGATTGATGATTCCAGCTCATGTTGTGTGCATTCTGGCAAGTGCCGTGTTAGTACAGGGCTCCCTGGCCTCAAGCCCAGGGCGTTCTTCGGTTCAGGGACTAGCTGCAGGCTTACAGCTGCTGTACCAACTGTCGCAGGCATCATCATTGCTGACAGTCGCTGCTGTTGCTGTCGTCGTCGTCGTTGTTGTTGCTGTTGTTGCTTAGGGTTTAGGGTTTAGGGTTCTGTTGGTTCGGGTTGCGGTGATGGCTGATGAGTATCTCGTACCAAGAAACTCTCTCTCTCTCTCTATATATATATATATATAGGTATGACTGCTGTATCAGTGCTAGTGGGGGAGACGAGTTTGCTTTGGCATATCGGCTCGAGGGGTCCGGCTGGCATCCTTCCGCCTCCACCTGAAGCCCAAGTCTTGGACCTCACAGTCCTCTTGCCATCTCATGCTACGTTCCTCATGAGGCCCCTGGATAGCAACACTGGGAGTTTGCGTCGTTCCGCGCCCTTGGGCAGCTGACCATCTGAGAGACAGCTCTGCAGAGCTTCCGCCGGCGACCTTTCGCAATGGCGCAGTCAGGCAGATGGTTTCGAGATCGAGGGATGGCTGCTTTATTTCTTGATCCTGAGCATGACTTCAACGGTGTTGCCGGCGGACGACGATGAGGTCGATGATGACGGTGATGGTTCTGATAGAACTGACAATGACGACCACGTGGGTGAGGGTGATCCAGCAGTACGAGTATTGGACCAAACGTTGGTCTTTTCTAGTTTTAGGGCCTCAGGCCTCTGTAAGCTGAATCCGCAAGCCTCATTTGCTTCAGCATCTCGCAGGTGATGTCCGGGGCGCACGGCTCCGGGGCGCCGTGGAGAGCGCCTCGCCTGACACCAGCCTAGAGCGATCCTGGGGGGTTTCTGAAAGTCTGGCATTCACCAAAGCCTAAACCTTAACCTCCAAGCAGCCCTAACTTCTACTTGAGCCCTAAAGCCCTGAACCCCTAAAGCCCAAAGACCCTAGACCTTTAAACCCCCAAACTCCGAACCCCAATGTTATAAACCCCCAAACCCCGTAAGCCCCGAAGACTTTCCAGGCACCCGAGCCGCGGCCCCGACCCCAGAAGCCGCGCGTTCCGCGGGAGCTGCTGGAAGGAGACCCGGCCCCGGTCTACTGGCATGTTCTGGCATCTTATGGTGTGTTCTTATGGTATATTGTGGTAGATTGTATGGTTTGTTATGGCATCATTGTGGTATACCAGATGATACTTTATGGTATGCGACAGTACGTGATAGCATACTATGGTATATTAGGGTATATTACAGCATATTCAAACAGATTACATGACAATACTGTTGACTACTGTGTATGTATGTATATATATATAGAGAGAAGGGCACATTAGAGTATGTTGAGGTGGAGTTCTACGTTGATGATGTTAGAGCTTTGAGGTTTAGGGGAGCTTTGGTTTAGAGTTTCAGGTCGCGGCTCTCTTTCTTCTCGTGGAGTTGACACCCAAGCTGCTGCCCCCTTACGTGAAATCCCGAAATCCTCCAGAGCAAGAGTGGCTAAGTGGGTGCAAGTGGGGGGTCGCCTTGTTCATGCGCAGCCCGGCATCTTCTCCTTGTATCTTCAGTGATGCTGAGGTTCACACTGGCAGCATACCATCCGAAGATTCGCAAGAACCAGAAGGATAGTAGTTAGGGCACAGCAAAGTGGGAGCTCGGCACGCGTTCCATGCCAGAATATTGGGCCAAGGCAGCCTTTCGGGGGTTCCCAGAATCCCTCGCATCGACGAGGCTCCTTGAAGAATCCAACCCGTAACCCTTTCGAGCCCTCACCAAACAGAAAAGACCCCTAAACTCTACAAGCTCCATAAATCTCAAAAATTGAGACAAACAACGCCCAAACACTTCGCAGGAGCATCGGCCATCGCTGGCTGCGCCCGACGGACGCTGTGGGCAGATGGCCTCTACCTGCTGGTGCCTTGCTTAGGGGCTCCGGGAAGAGAGAGCAGCAATGATCCGTGTAATCAGAGAAAGTGTCATGAATCGCAACCGATACCACCACCCCACCACGACCACGACCACGACCACGACCACGACACCGACGGCGGCGGCGCAGACCTTGCACCGATAAGTCCTTGGACCGAATCCAGAAACCTTGAACCCCGAACCTTCGAGGGGTGAACCGCTCGTGCTTGCAGAGATGGTGGGACGGAGAAGACTCCTCAACAAAAAGCTCTCTTGGAAGGGCCCCCAACAAGAAGAAGCCCTGCAGCATAGCTCCATAACCCCAACCCCAAAGAATTTGACCCGGCCACGAGGCTCTGGATCTGCAGATCCGAAGATCATTTTCGGTGCGAAGATCACACCCGGAAAAACCTTGCAGAACCACTAAGCAGCTGGATAGGGACAGCAAAGGAACACGCTTTCAAACTATTCCGACACTGATTTCATAGTATACAGTAGACTATGTCCGAGAATACCGTGCATCACGGCAGTTTGTGGCATCTTATATCAAAGCCCAACTGTATTGTATTAACAGACTATCGCAGAGTATAGTTTTTTTTTACAATCTACTTGAATCCTGGGGCGGAGGATGACTTGACCTTCCGCGGCCTGCAGCCGGACCAGGCCTTTCAATGCTGAAGCCAACTGAGGGGCCTCGATATAGCGGTTTAGAGTTTGGGGCTTAGGGCTTCGGGTTCAGCGTTTAGGTTTTGGGTTTTGGTTCACGGTGACGATCATACAGAAGTCTTAAGCCAGAAATGTATTGAACTATTTCATGATTTACATCGATGCGCAATCGTTTGAATGAGGGACACCAGAAGTATGTTGCAAACTGCTGTCATGTACCCCCAAACCGGCTTCTAATGAGAAAATGCCCTTCTATATCCGCATATGCAGCAACAGCTACGACGGTTGACAGTGCAGACCGTTTTGGCTTTGCAGCGTGGGCCCTCCTCACAGCATGAGCCCCGGCATGTTGCAGTAACCTGCAACAAGATCCTGAAGCTCACCCGATTCCTTTCAGCCCCTGACGGCCGACATCGGCTCAGCCATGGGTACGAAGGATGCCGCGGAGCTCCTGAACTCTTTTTCTCCGGAGGAGCTGGTGGAGGTGGCGGATCAGTTGTCACCAGGCGTCTTACAAACCTTAACAGGAAGGTGCCAACAGAGAGTTCTGGCTATTCAGGCAGGGAACGGCTACGGAAAGCCCAACGGCAAGGTGACCTTTGGCGGGAAAGGTGGAAAAGGCAACGGCTTCAGCAATGGGGCCAATGGGGGTGCCAAAGCTGGTGGCAAGGGAGGCAAGACGAGAGAGAAGGGCTCCGTGCCGATTCCAGAAGCGCTAGAGCACCCGGAAGAGCTTCCGGCAACAGCAGCGACTGGCGAACAGGTGGCTTTTCAGGTCAATGCAGGCACACCGTGGCAGTTCGTCGGCGAGTCAACTTTTTTCAGGTGGGAGCTGCAAGACCGCAACTCCGTGGCTGAACAGGACAAAACGGAGGTTCGAGAGATCCTCCAGGCCTATGCTGAGGAGCATGGAATCCCTTTGAGGGGCCCGGAGGGCATCAAGCTGGCTCTACGCCGCGGCCGACATTGGGTGTCGTACGCTGGCGGAATCTCCTCTGTGGAGGGCAGGTGACTTGCGGAGACTGTGAACCGTGAGCCTTGCTATGCCTCCGGCGACTCGGGCCTGTTCGGAAGACTCGGGCCGGGCATATTGCAAAACAGAGTGCGAGAGGGTGCGGAGTTCGATTCTTGGAGATTCTGGCGCAAAGGCCAGCGTTGCAGAAGTAGCTGTAACGATGGAAGTAGCGATTTAATATACTAGAATATATTATAATATGCTATGGCTATAATATACCAGACTGTTACTATGCTGTGATACATTCTAATATACTAGAGTATACTATAATATACTATAATCCACTCTCAGAGACGACATTATCCCTGAAGCTGCCAAGCCAGACGTACCTGCGGCCGCAGGTCGTGCGAAGCGCTGCAATGGCAGGCGTCAGCCGCGGCGGCTTGTGGAGCCAGCCGCTGGTGCCACCTGAAAGGGCTTAGATGCCAGAATTTTGATACAAGGGCAACGTAAAGGGGTATCGGTGTATTTTATACGTGCCCATGCCTTCATCCAGAAGCTTTGGCTGAATGCACATGGCCGTGCAAACCGCCGAATAGTGCTGCGTGGCAGTGGATGGTGAGGCAATGTCCTGTACAGTAGGTACACACACAGACACACGCCATGAAGCTCGAAGCATTAAGCCCTACGTATTGCTTGAAGTGGCGAAGCCCTCCAAAAAACAATCGAACCGTGTCTAAATCCTGAGCCGTCAACTTTATAAAGTATGTCTACAAGGCACCTTTAAAAGAGCCCGGTTTTGAGAAAATCACAGGAGGGGGAGCTGACCAGTGTTAGCCTTGAAGACAGGTGCTGCTGAGTTTCCTCTGGCGCGACCGCGTGGAGGCGTCGCCATTCTTGCAGACTTCTCCAGATTCGAGGGTCCTTTCCTATGACCTAGTGTTACGTTCACCATGTGTTAATTTTGTAGGTCTGGGTTCAGTTCTTGTCTTTGCTGACTGCGATGTGAAGCCGCTTTGTCAGGCGAGACTGTGCAAGAATTGAAGACAGTGATTCCTAACCCGACTAAAGCCTGAAGCCACATCTGTGTGTGTATATATATATATATGTTTATATATATATGTATCATACACATATGTATGTATGTATGTATATATATATATATATATATATATCAGGTGGACATCAAGAGCTATAGCTCTGTGTTCATTGGCATCACCGCCGCTGCTCGATGGGCTGATGGCCAGCACCTTCTGGAGGCCAGGCTCGGCTTTGCTTTTAGTTGGCTTCTGGATCTTACTAGTGCGAGTTCATGGCGTTTTGAGGATTAGCTTTCAGCTTTTATGTTCACTTTTGGCGGGTTGAGGGTTTTGGGATGAGGTTATCAAGTGGAGTGGCAGCCTATGACACCAGGAGCTGCGCTGGCGAGCCCGGCCGGAGGACATTGTGGTGGTCAACAGCTGCTGGGCACATACTACAGCACTCTATAGCATATTATAGCCCATTGTAATCTGTCATTGTGTGCTGGCGTGTATCATCGTATATTGTAGTAATTACTCAGCAAGCAACATGTCTTATCGAGAGGACCTATCGGAAGGGAGCTGGTGAAGCCCCATGTCGTACGATGTTGCTGTAATTGCTTGCGCATATGGACATTCAGATGCAGATATATGGAAGCACCGACATGCATGCATGCATGCATGCATGCATGTGTATGGATATATGTACGTGCATGGATACATACATGTGTATATATACATATACATATATCAAATCCCAGAAAGCCAGATAGAAGTAACCAGGGAAAGCATGTGCGATATTTCTAGCACGGCATGTGAATAGACTGAGTAGGGAGACTGAGTAGGGAGGAAGAACTCTCAAAACCCGAAAGCCCGAAAGCCATAAGAAAGCCTAGGCCTAAACCTTGAAACCGCGAAGCCACCCAAAGCCTGCCGAGGCGGCCTGAGCTGCTTCGAGAAAGCGGGCGAATGGCAAGGGGCCGCCTGATCTCTGAAGGGTTTTTTGATACAAAACCCTAGGGCTTACAAGCTAAGCTGTCAAGCCCATCGCTGCATCTCAAAAAGCTATGAAGAAGAAAGCAATAGCTTGCATGGAGGGGGTTGTCACACGGAAGCCCGGGGTGTCAGGGTAATTATGGTGCGCAATGCATCCTACAAGGTTGTTCTAGGTCTCATGGTTGCCATCTTCGTCATCATCAAGCTAGATGATAGCTGCTGTTCTGAGCATCATGACTGGCTTCTGGCGGAGGTGGTTTCCGGCTTTGTGTCGGGCTCGTAGGGTCCAGCATCGGAGTGTTGTGATGCAGGGGCTTTGGATTCTTCAGAAGTAGGCTTCAGCGTTTGGAGCGTCGGGTTTCGGACTCATGCTTTAGAGGGATTACGGCGCAGGATAGGATTCAGGAATTCAGGCATTCAGGGTTTGTGGGATACTCCAAGAAGAGCATGAACACAGCCAGGTCAAGCCGGGAAATCGCACATGCGGTCCTTTCGTCCATTGTGGCACTGCGCCTGAGATTTCCGATGAGGCTTACAAAGCCTGTGAAACCTAAGACACCAAACCCTCAAACTCAAACGGTTCAGATTGAGGGAGGCTTCTTCCTCACTGGCAGGTCGCAAAACTAGGTCCTAAATCCTAGCCCGTAGCCCTACTCTGAACCCCAAGCCCTGAGCCCTGAACCCAAAACCCAAAACCCTAAACCCTCCTCCCCGAATCCTTAAGCCCAAAGCTCCGCTCCCGGGTCTCAAAGGCCTTGCACCTGCTTCGCCACACAGCCGCGGCCAGGAGGCCGATCTTGGGAGAGGGCTGGGGAAAAGTGTGGAAAACAGGGCACGAGAAGAGTATCTACTATGGCGTAGTGTACAGATGTATACATGTGTATTAGAATATAGTAATTTGTAGTATATACCCTTGTATACTATACTGTCTTAAAGTGTACTACAGTCTACTGTAAAATATTCCAGTTTATCATAGTAATATAGTAGATGATAGTACATTTTTGCATATCATAGTATATCTTATTATATCATGGTAAAGTACAGTATAGCATAGCATAGAAAAGTATAGCATAGTGTAGTACAGTATATCATAGCATAGTACAGTATAGTATGGCATAGTGTAGTCTTGTGTAGTATAGTAGAGTATAGTATAGGATAGTACAGTACAGTACAGTACAGTATAGCATAGCATAGCATAGCATAGCATAGCATAGCATAGCATAGCATAGCATAGCATAGTATTACTATAGTAGTACCATGGTCGCAGTAATGTCAAACATTAAGAACAGCCGCGCTGGTAACAGCAGTAGTAGCAACAAGATCATCATGATGGTCTTTCGGGGATGTCGTTGCCCAGACAGTCGGCACGGAATGCTTTAGACCATGCAGCACAAAGACGCCGCGGAAACTTGAACCCTAAAACCCTAATGCCCTACATTCTGATAGAAGAAAAAACTCCACACCCCGAACTCCAAAAGCCTCAAACGACACCACATGCCATCAACAAGCCTTTGAATCAGAACTCTGAAGGCACACGAAGCCCCCGGTTGTCCTCCGCCCACAAGGCTCGAGCCTGATCTGGTAAGCTTCAACGTGATGGGCCCAGCTTGCGGAACATGGTTTCGGGTTCAGGGGGATGAAAGGGGGGGGGGAATTGATAGTATATTCTGGTCTAATATAGTTTATTATGGTACAGTCTGGTATATCATAGTATATGACAGTATATTCTAGTATATAAGGGTTCTTAAAGTCATGAACACCCTCCGTTTCGAGGGGTCTTCATGGTAAGGATCCTATTCTATTCGGAGCTGTACATAGGGATGATATTGATAGCTCCTGTAGCGATTCCGGAAACTCTAAACCATAGGATCCTATGTGTAGATGTATATACATATATATATATATGTATATACATATATAAATATATTTTGTATGTATGTGCAATGATGAGCTTCTTAGCAAGGTTTCGAGCTCCAGGGCTCCCAAAAGTTTGTAGAAGAGCCACCTCTCTGATGACGCTGTGAGTGCGGGCGTAGGGCGTGGGGGCCCTGAATCCGGAAGATAGGCTTCCCAACGGGGTTTCGGCTGCCAGACATGTCAAGGAGAAGTCGACCCCAGACCACAAACCCGAAATCGCAAAGCCTAAGTCCTAAGGCCGCCCCTTTCTTGACCCAAGAAGAGACATGGTCGTTCAATGCTACTCTATTGTGTTGAGACATGGATGGTATGATTAGAGCATAACCACAACCCCCCTCCACAACTTTTTTCGAACGGTTTAAAGCAACCCTGGACTTTCCTAATACCCCATATAACCCTTATATACCCAGTATAGAGTCTCAAAAAGCCCCTATATAACCCCAAGGGTGCCCTTTAAGGGTCCCTCCTTTAGCCCGTTGAGGTGGTTGAAGCAACCTTATTCCCCTGTCCCTCCTCCGCGGTCCTGCCCCTTCTCGCCAGCACTTCACTCCAAGACCCTGACCTTCCAGCCTTTTGCCTCCCGAACCCTGCCAGCCCCAAGCGCTGAGTCCTTTTTAACGTAGGGGCTAAATAACTACCTATATTATTTTGGGGGCTCCTTAATTAAAAGTATAGTATAATAGACCCCCGAAATCCTTATTCTCATGATTAAGGCCCTACATTATCCTATTTTCTCCGGTGACCCAGTCTTGACAAGGAAACTCCTCGTTTCCTACTTAGGGTGATCCAAAACCTTATTCTCATGATTACGGCCCTAAATAATTACCTATATTATTTTGGGTGAAAGTATAGCATAATGGCCCCAAAACCCTATTCATGATCATGATTAAGGCCCCTACATTAGGTCCAACCCCAGAAATCAGCCCTGGGAGCCCAAGGTTCGGAGCTCCATCTCCTGCACCTCCACGGCCTTTGTCACCTTCACCACCGTGCAAACGCGCCCGCCGGCGAAGAGACGAGCGTAGTTGTAGAAGCATGCAGAGTTACCGATAGTAATTAGGATTTATAGTAAGCATACAGAGCTACCGACAGTAGGAATTATAGTCATGAAGGCATGAAGGCACCTATATTGATACTGGTTGGGCTTTGGAGCTCCGAACTCAACAGGTTTTTGAACAGGGGGGGGGGGGGGGGGGGNNGGCGGATGTCTGGTGTGACCTTCATTGGCTGAGGACTCAGGGGTCCAGGGATGTTGTGGGATTGAGTTTTATCTTTCGAATATATTCGATGTGTGATGGGTGCTTGGTGCTCCCGGTGAGGACATGGGACAATATGGAGAACCTCCTCCTCCTCCTCGTCGTCCGTCATCGTCATCGTCGTCATCCTCCCTGCGCTCACTGTCACCTTTATCGACGCCGTCATCATCATCATGATCATCA